GTACTGTCGGAGCGTGGGCGGCGTCGGCGGTACTGTCGGAGCGTCGGCCGGCGTTCGCCCGCTGATAGACATCCGCTTGAGATTTCGACTGTCGGCCGCTGCCGCTCGGGGTCAATTCAATCTCGGTACCCTCCTTTCCTTGCCTATCGTAGGTTTATACGCTTGCATGATCAGAATTTATCTTAGGGCCTGATATTGATGAGTACCACATACGAAATTACGAAGGACGACCGACAACATAGAGATTTCCGTGCATTTTCAATCGGCGCTCATTCAAGGCGTATCACCAACCAGAAACCCTGTCCCAGGGCACCAGAACACACCACATATATATGCATATATATATATATATATATATATATATATATATATACATACTGCTATGTGTATCAAATATTTGTCATCCACACTGCGTGCTGCGTGCACGCGCTGCCGGTTCTTATTAAAACAATCCTCCTAAGCACCCCTGGAGCCAGACTTTAACGATATCACGCCACTGCTCTAAAGTAATTGGTACTTGTATTCCGCGTGTTCTACTCAGCGGTGGCAGTCTTCATCAAAACAATAATGACCCATTATCTAGAGCGAAATCACGTTGTGATGCATGTGTTGCAGAACAAAACAAATCTATCTTTCTGTCTTCGTTTTGCTAACAAGTTTCCTAACACCTCAAAGTTTGAAAAGTACCCAAAATTTTGCTCTCGTGGCCCTGTTGCAAAATGATCCAAGCAGCCGAAGGAATCCATAATACATATCAAAAGATGTGTCATTTGTGGTGTGGTTGTGTTCGCCACATCCCTCTGGCCCACCTGACTGTCAGCTGGTGCCGTCCGCACGCGGCCGTCGCCCCGCCGCTGACCGCTCCGTGCGGTCGGCAGCGGGCGCCGGCGGCCGGCTCGGCCGACAGTGCGCCGCCCGGAAATGAGGCTCTGTTTTCCCGCTCAGACGCGGTCGGCCCGGTCGGCGGCCGTGTGTTTTGGCTGCGCTGGGCCGCTATTATTGCGCGCTCGGTCGACCGCAGGGCCGTCGCCAGGGCCGCCGAGCCGGCGGGCTGCAGCCGGCGCGGCGCGTGCCGGGGCGCGCGCTGCCTCGCCGGGCGCCCCGGGCTTCGCTCCGGCGTTCGGTGGCAGAGCGGTGCGCCGCTCGTCTGATGTGCCGCCGGCGCCGGCCAGCCGGGTCGTATTTACAAACACGCCTGATTGGCTGTCGGCCACGCCGAGCTGCCTGGAGACAGGCGCCGACTGTTGACCGCCCCCGCGTCCCCGGGCCGGGCCGCGACTCTGTTATCGTGCAGATTACGCTCTCGGGGGACGACATACGGAAGCGATACTGCATTCGCCAGCCCCCCCCCCCCCCTCCTCTCCCCCGCTGCACTCCTTTCATTCTGCTCTCCTTATCCCTCTCATCTGTGCTCTCTTTCCCCCTACTCCTCTCTCACCTCCCCGCTCCATTTTCCTCCCTTTGACCTCCTCACCCATCTGGACTCAACTCTCCCTCTCTCCCCTGCCCGCCTCTCCCTCTGCCTTTCTATTCCTCCCCTTCCCTGCTCTTTTTTCCTCTCCTCCTTCTTCCCTCCTGTTTACTTGTCCACTCTTCTTTCTCATTCTGTCCCCACCCTTCAGCATTTCCCTCTTCACTTTACTCTTGTCTCCTCCACTATTTCCTGTCCCTTCTGCTGTCCTCCCTCTACTTCTCTCCGCTCTCCCCTCCTTTCGGCCACTTGCTTTCTTCTCCGCTCTCTTTCTTCCTCTCTCTCTCTCCCCTTTCTATCTCCATTCTCATCTCATTTTCCCTTTCATTTTCCATCTGCCTTTCCATCCCTCCCTCCTTCTCTCCCTCCCTCTCTCCCTCCCTCGCTCCCTCCCAGTCTCCCGTCACGTCCTCATGTTCTACGCTCAAGTTTTCTTCGGTTTTACTCACGCCTTAAAGCTACGTGTATTCTCGACTCGTCTTTTGCCTTGCCCCGATTCCTGAAATTTTAGGTATTTCAAATTCATGCAGTTCTGTGACTCTACAATGCCTTGATTGTTTTCTGTCGTGAAAATTAATTATGAATCGTGTTAACCGAAGTTCATCGCATTGGCACCATGTCTTTTCTATATTAAGACACGTCGCGAGAAGTGTATGGCAGTGAATTCCTTCCTGGTGTTGCTGGGTGAGTTTATGTAGTGGAAATTCTGCTCCCTGCCTGTGCTCAAGATGTCCACGTTTTCGCATCGTTTCATCAGAAACACCATTGCAAGTCGCATTATCTCCCAGATCCTGATTCATTAAGCCTCATTCTTTCTGTAAGTGGGAGAATATGCCCATCTACCGGTGTGTGGATGAGTAAATCAGGATCTAGGGATATCTAGGTCTTGGTCTGTGCGAAAACGTGCACTTTATGACCATTATTAGATGCAAATGAAACGTTATGACAACGTTTTGGAGGCAGGACACCTGTCTTCCCCCGAGAAAACAGGTGTGTCCAAACGCTTGAATTAATGGAAGACTTGCACGGCACGAAGCAGCGAAGACCAGGCGCGTGCCTGCTGGGGTATGCCGTCCCGTCTGGGTGGCGTGCGATGCGGCACAGCCTACACACTCAGGTGTTTCTCACCGTGGGCGGGCCGACGCCCGCCAGCGGCGGTGACTGGACGGAGCTCCGTGCCGCACGTGTGGGCACATCGTCCCTGCTGAGGTTTCTGCTGAAGCCCCTAATCCCCGGGGGGCTCGGAGGTACTCGGAGCTGGTGCGACGCACCATAATTAATCACGGACGGGCTGCCGCGCTTCCCACGGCGCTCCCATGTTGTTTCCACGTTATTCTTACGCGGAATTATACGGGGTCGCTCCGGTTAGGTAGCAAGCGACCGCCAGGCCTGCGAGCAGTGCTTAGGGAGTACCAGATGGAGTTATGTAGACTTGCCCACTGCAACATATCGCGCATCGATTTATCAGCTAATTATGTGCTGGGACGAGAGGCCACAGGCTCCTGCCGATAACGGAAACCTCGAAATTATGAATACTGCCGTCAGTTCTGTTCAGGGGTGTAGTTTTCTGTTCAGCTAGGGGTTCCATCCCTCACCCCCAAGTTTGACGAGAAGGTGGGCCAATTTCAGCGAGAAATCCGTTTGTTTTTATTATGGGAGGGGGCGTTATGTCCCTTCCCCCGGCTCACTTTGCGAAACTACGAAAGTCGGTTCCGTTCAATTTCTGGTATGTCAAATGCGTTGCGAAACAGTGATATGTGATCTGCGGAGTCATAATTGGATGCGAAGGTAAACTTCGTGTTGTGAAAAGCTTATTTCCCTCATATCCTTGTTCGTCTTATGTCGATCAGCAGTGAAAACGAGTTAAGCAACCCATGCACCCCTGTAGAGTGTCGGTTTGTAGACTGATGGCATCTGCCTCGCAATGACCATGATATTGGCGTACCTTTCTGTAGATTTGGCTGATTTCTGGGGACGTTTCCATTTGGTATGGATGTCCAACCAGGAGGTGGAACGTCATCGAAGTTGAGCGGTTTTGCGCGTCCATACATGACCTCCGGCACGGCCATTGTGATACGAGTTGAATCATCCAGGGAGACACTCCAGGTAATGGACGGAGACGCAAGAATTAATGCATTTCATCGTGGAGTGGGACACTCAAAGCGGTGGCTATAACGACCCGGCGGAGACAAACCGCGTGAGTGGCGGAGATCCGTTACAACAGAAGGAGTCGCCTAGTACGGGGACACAGAGTAGATAAGAATGGGACTTAACGGGGATAGTTGTTCTGATTTTGCCACTAACGGGTCTCGAACCATGCATGAAGCAAGCCGCACTGATGCGACATCGGCCACGTAGATCCGGGCGAACCGTAATACGCGCCGGCCTGTGAAATTTACCCCGGTCGCACACACGCCATCTATCCTCCATAACTCCGCGAAAGTCCGCCCGTGCTATAAATATCACGTTAGAGGCCTGCGTCGCTCACGTCTCGGCAAGGACTTTGTGGCGCACCTCCTGGCCATATTTTTACCGTTAGCCCTTCCTTATTGCTTGGTCCCTTTTGGCGAAGGTATGGCCGGTGTCGGCGCGTTTCCGCCGCGGGCTCCTCCGATTCCGGGGATCCGCGGCGGCCATGTATCAATATAATGGGACAAGTGGAAGTGTGTCCGTGCCGCTGGCCTGAGTTATGGCCTCTGACGCCGTGTAAATGGCCGTTTGAGAGACAATGCGCCCTGATCAGGCAGAGCCGCGGACAGTAGTAACGGATGGCGGCGACAGACCGGGCGTACGCCGACAACAGCGCCAGACGGGGTGCTGGCACGCTCTGAGGCGAGCATGTGGTCGGCTGGTGACTAATGGGTGACAGACGGACGCGCTGGGCGCCGAACAGCATCGGACAGCGGTGCAGCAGCACAGCGCAGTTGTGGCAAACTGGGACGCTGTGGAGCAGAGGTAACACAGAAGCATCAGGACACGGCGTAGTTGTGGTGGGCGGTGACGCTCTTGGGCACAGGTGACGTAGAAGCCCTACGCCACGGCGCATTCGTGGCAGACGGGGACGCCCTGAGTCAGAGGTGACGAAGAAGCCCCAAGACCCGGCACGGTTGTGCCAGGCGGGGACGCTCTGGGTCAGAAGTGACGTAGAAGCCCCAATACACGGCACAGCTGTGACAGGCGGGGAAGCTTTGGGTCAGAGGCGACGTAGAAGTCCTACGCCACGGCGGAGTTGTGGCAGGCGGGGACGCTTGGGGGCAAAGATGGCGTAGAGGCACCAGAACGCGGAACAGTTGTGGCGTACGGAGACGGTGAGATGATGACGAAGATAGCGGCGCATGCCGTGCAGACCCTGCTCGTCAGCTGAACATGGCCAACCCGCTTTTCGAGAGCACGTGCGGGGCAACGGCACCGTTCAGAGTCCTCTTGTGAGGGATGATGCAGGATCGCACCCGGGCTAGCTCCAGCAGACGGCGGTGAGGACGCACCGTTCTCTGGCCTCAGACACGGGCGCTGTGTCCGCCTGTCGGAGAAAGACGGTAACAACTGTCCTCTCTTTCTCTGCTGCAGGTCGCGAGCAGCCGCCGCCCGGGCAGGAGCCGCCGCCATCCCCGGAGCAACCAGGTAACGAACCGGCGACCGCAACAGGTGCCGCCGTCACGTGCATCGGCGCCATTGGTCGCTGGGAAGGGGAGGGAGCTGGTGCTAGCAAGGCGCACGAGTTTTGCGATGCCTGAGGCCTGTAAAATGTTTGAACGCTCGTTTCGGAATCCGTCTCAGGTCGTAAATTTTGATGGCCGTCGTTCACCGGTGTACGCGGCTCCTGTCCGCTGCCCGGAGTCGAAGACGTGTGAATGATGGCCGTGATTCCGCGAGTGTTCGTGGGGCCGAGCTGCCGGGGTGAAAGGTCACTACGTGGATGTATCGTCTTCCCGTTACTGAGGCACGGCTCGGATTCCGGCCGGTCGCGGCGAAGTGCTGCCATTACTTGTCGAATCGCTTGGTGATTATCCCTGAGCGTTTTATTGCGCTCTGCGCATGAGATGCCTTCCCACAGCGGGGCGTCCAAAATAGCATTCGCGCATGCGTTAGTGTCCTGACTCCGGTGAGTTTTGAGTTTTGATCATCGAACTTGTCAATCAGGAAGCGTTTCCCCTGCCGCGCGTTGTGCCCAGCTGCTCTGGCCACTTGACGGGCGCTGTCAAAGGGCGACGTGGCGCCGCCGCTCGCCGTGAAGCGCTGTCGTGACGCGAGCGTCGGCGACCGGCCGGCGGCGCCGCGACGAGGCCCCGAACAAATGACGCGTGCCTGGACTGCCGGGCGCCGGGCGTTTTCAGCGCAGATTACGGCCGTCCGGCCGCGCCATAAATACTGGCCCGTGCCAGCTATCAGGCATTCGGGTCCGGCGACCGGCCGAAGCCGGCATTAGAGGGCGGCCGTAATTTTTGCCGACCGCCGGCCGATGATGGATTGGCGGCGGCCGGCGGCCGGGCCAGACAGCGCGGCTGTTCTCGTCGCCTCTCCAGCGCGGCCATCGTGTCGCTTCGGCGGTGGCGCGTCCACTCGCGCCGGCGCCGGGCCTCCGCTCGGCGTCGCCGGGCCCCCGCTCGGCGTCGCCGGGCCCCCGTTCGGCGTCGCCGGGCCCCCGTCCGCCGGCGCTGGGCCCCCGCTCGCCGGCGTCCGGTGACGACCGCCACTTGGAGGCAGGTGGCTTGCGCCCGATTAGTTCGGGCACCATCGGCTCAACTCGGCGGTGGTGCTGCGTCCGTGCCCGGTGTTCCCAGAAAGTCCGAAGTTTCGGGTGATAGCTTGTCAGGAACGACACGTGTCCGTGGAAAGGCTTGGGCATCTGCTAATGGTGTTGGAAGACTAATACCGCAGCTCCTTGGAGATGTTATTATCAGGCTGTGGTGGGCCGCTTTCCCTGGTAAGAGCGAGCGCTGACTCCAGTGACTGCCACGTATCAGGGCTTCAGATTTCCAAAAAGACTGGTTAAATGTGTTTCATTGAACGCCCGTATGCGTATTGCACCGAAAGCGTTCAGCCATGCCAGCAAAGCAGTAATTTGTCTCATCGCTGCGCCTCTAGTTTTCTGAGGCTGTGGTGCGCCACTTCTGGTCATGCCGGGATCACGGGCAGTGGCTCTGCGTGCGGCCCGAGTCCTCTCCACCGCACTGCCGTCGCGCCACCGTGACCGGTCCGAACGCGCCGTCCCGGCCGTTCCGAAGTGCTCACACTCCCTGTCAGGCTCAGTTTGAGCGACCCTGGCTCCCGCGCGGCGACGCACGCCGCTTCCGGCAATTCCACTGCCCAGGGAAGTTAGCGAAATGAGCGATTTATCTAGATTGGGCCTGACCGGGCGTGTGAGGCCGCATGATAATCAGATTGTTCGACCGGTAGTAGCCGGACGAAGATGGGTCTGCCCGTCTGGACAGCGGCCTCCTCGGTTACCATGGCAACTTAAGTCGACTGCGGGAGCTGCACGCCCCGAATAGCAGATCATTCCGCGCGGTTATGTATTGAAGGGGTTGGATTTTCATTGCTGAATTCACGTCTTCGGGTAACTGGCTAGAAATTTGTTGGAAAGAAGAAGAAGTAAGAAGTAAGTCAACAGATTATCAATGCTTTCGTACTCGCGTCGCATCGGAGCAGTTACGGCAACAGCGTGTTTATTGGTCCTTTGATGACAGCTTTTGGACTTCCAGGTGAAGATGAGAACGACGACGACGAGGAGGAGGAAGAAACCATTGCTGAAGACCGCGAGCAAGAATTCGACTTCAAGGAGTTCATCAAAAGGTACGACTGTCGCCAATGATTGACCTTATCGGAAGATCCGCCAAGTCTGCCACTAATGAGTAGGCGAGCCGTGCCTCGTAAGAGCTGTGACAGCCGATCTCGATAACAGAGAAAGACTGCACAGGTTGACAAGAATGAGTGACTCAGCATATACGACATGGTCAGAAGTAAGTAAAAACGTACTAGGTGACTTATGTCAGGGGTGATGAGATGACCCAGGATCAAGCGTCGGTGATTTGCAACGCCCTGGCCTTAGGCTGGCCGCCGAGCCGCTCGGTTCAAGGTCACGTCAGGCCCCAGAACCAGCTTTCGGTCCGTCTAGTCTGCTGCCACGTCACAACAGTCAGCATGTGACGGACATCACGTGAAATGTGCCTGATCAAACTATGCGGAGGCTTTTGATTGGTTTCAACCCTCAGGGCGATCACAAAACGGGAGCGTTTAAGGGAATTGGGCTGGGGACGTCGGCGCGCAGTACTGCTGGGCAAGGGAGATGTACCCGCGCGACCTGTCTCCAGTGACTGCGAACAGCAGGCTAGCTCTGTGTGTACCGGCAGGTCGTCAGCCTCGTTGTCGTCGGCCTCGTGCTGGTCAGCCTGTCCGTGATGATAGCCAGTCGGTCGTCAGTCGGTCTGCCTCGGCAGTCAGTCTGCCATTCTGTCTGGATGGTTCTGATCTGTCCCTCAGCAGTCTTTCTGCATCGGCAGTCAGTCTGCCAGTCTGTCTGGGCAATTCTGGTCTGCCCCTCAGCAGTCCGTCGGCCGGTCGGGATGGCTCCTGTCGGTGGTCTCTGTTTATGTTGACTCTGCACGGTCCATTGATGTGTGTGTGGGTGAGCCCGGTCATCATTAGTCGTCGTCACACAGAAGCACAGCGGTCGGCCGCTGTGCTGTTACCGCTACTGCCACCGCTTCTAGTCACTTATTCTGCTGTTGACAGACGACTTCGTTGTCCCGCCTTGTCTGGGGATGGGCCCGAGCTGTTGAAGTATTCGTGTGTGTCATCGTGTGGCCAGTCTGTCACCCGGTCTGTCCATGGACGGGCTCGGTATGATCACTCGTATATGCATCGACGCTGTCTTCGGTCTCAGCCGACGGTGATCTGTGTCCGTTGGCAGTCTGTTTCCCTTCTGCCTCCAACAGTCTGGCAGTCTGTTTCCTTTCTGCGAGTGTGTCTGCGCAGACCCCGCCGGGATTGGCCCCGACCCGTCAGTTTCACGCACCATTCGCCCGCCGGCGCGGCCGCCCGCCCGCTCTATATTCATACTGCGCTGAATTAGGATCGCTCTGGCTCACAGAGTCCGTCCGGGCGCCGGAAATGTCACCGTGTCGTCAGGCGGCGACCCGACAAAGGCGGGCCGGGGGAGGCGCCGCCTGCGCTCCCGAGGGAAGATGGGCAGGGGCAAGGGCCGCCCGGACTCCCGAGGGAGGGGCGGACCGGGGCAGGAGTCGCTCGCGTTCCAGAGAGAAGATGAACCGGGCAGGGGTCGCCCAGACTCCTGATCGAGGGGCGGACCGGGGCAGTAGTCGCTCATGTACCAGAGAGAAGATAGACCGGACAGGGCCGCCCGGACTCCCGAGGGAGGGGCGAACTGGGACAGGGGCCATCTGGACTTTGGGATGGAGGTGGACCGAGGCCGGTGCGTTTAGGACCACTGAGGGAGAGACGTGTCGTGGAGGGGGCGGACCCCAGGTGGAGGGACGGACCCCAAGTGAAGACAGATCGAGGGGTGCCGACCCATGGGCGAGAGGTGGACCGCGGGGTACCAGACTCCTGGGGAAGGCAGACGGAGAAGGGTCCCTGACCCTGACAGGCTCTGACAGAGTGGGTAGGGGGATTTAGCCAAAAGGACGGCGCCGGGCACTTGACAGAGGTGAACTGGGAGGGAATCAATATGAATGATCATGTCTGATCAGCGCTGCCAACTCACCGTGTTTCACTCATTGTTATATCTACGTAATTTGCTCAGCAAGTGTGGATCTGTCTCATGCACTGCGGTGAAGGAGGATAACTAGAATGCCTCAGGTAGGGGGCTTGGCGATGGAAGGAGAGATCGCTTCTGGTTTGAAAGGCTAGGTCGCTAAGTTAGGAGCTGTGATCAACGAACGATACATGTGGCATACTAAAGTGGATTGGTGCGGTGATCCTCACTTAAATCGCTTCAAGCGTCGGTAATTTATACATGGGCGTCATGGGTGTTCATTCCTTCGAATCATTTTCATAAACGAGGAGCCGTAAAGCGGCGCCGGCCGGATAACGTGATTGATGAGGACCTGTGCAACTGATAGCTCTATCTGGAAAATATGTGTCTAGCATCGAAGCGAACCTCGCGCATCTGGAAAGGATCCTCCCGGTGATGGAGTAACCAGCGAGAGACCGCTCAGCGCGGGAGCCTACTCAGCGATTGCAGAGGACTGACAGTAGGCTATGATAAAGCTCCGGCAGCAGTACAGGGCGACCAATTAGAGAAGCCATAAATCAGTCATCGTGATGAACGGAGGCATCCTTAAAGTAGGTGCGTGAGATGCATGGTGTCGGCAGGCCTAGGGTTTCATTCATCACCTGTGATTCACATCGCGTCCAGCAGCGGTTCACATCACTTGCTCACCGCCAACTCGACGGCGCCGTGTCAAACCGCAGACGCAGTGAGTTCGTGGCACTACATCTCGTGGGATTGGCCGTCGTGTAGATCGGCCAATTTCCAGAAAAAGGAATGCAATTTTAGCACGATAGACGCGGTTATTAGGTTGAAGGGAACGATAAACCACCGTTGTCACTTATTGGTTTGTGGGCTGGATGAAATTATCTTGTTTCTGAGGCGTGGTTGGATTTATATTATTTATTACTTAGATATTCGATATAGGTGTTTCGATTCCCCACTGTGCCCACCCTTCCTGCCAGCGTGAGAAGCGGGCGATGGGATATAGCCTCAGCAGCCAAGTTCGTCGTAAAGCCCCGATGATGTCAATTGTGGCGTGCTTTGGCTCGTTCGGGTGGCGGGGCAGTGTCCGCACGCGTAAAGACTGGTGGCCACCTGCTCGTGGAAGCCCCATGTGGCAGAGGATGGCAGTGTTTCGAAGAGTGCGGCGGTTTGAGTCGAATTGCCCAAGTTGAATATTTTATCATAGCTGAATGTATTGCACCATTGGAGATTTCCTGATTTTGTTTTTTCTTGAACAATTGATTGGGTCTTAAACTGTTGGCTAGTTTTTAGAGCCCTGACAAATAACCTATCCCAGAAATATCACCGCTGTTACGCATTATCTTGCGTCGTGACGTGACAGGCCAAATGCTGACGTAACTAACGTGCCATTAGCGGGAATTGTTCTCACATTGGACCGGTGCTGACTAAATCTGCTGGCGCAAAATGATCATAGCGCAAAGAGAAATGTGGTAGCCCCAAAATGTCCTCATGAATTAGGTTCTGTTTATATTAAACCTAAAAGCGATCTTCGTGTAGGCCCGCTTCCTTTCAAGTAAGACTCACGCTGCTGACGGCCTGGCCCATAATAATATTACGTTTTAATCGTAATCCTGGTCCCCGGGTGGAAGGAAATGGAATATTTGAATTGCTCCCGGCCTATCCCACTGCTCCATTCAGACCAGGCTTAGCATGCCGCTCGTCGAAGGCTCCGCTCTGCTTGTTCCCTCCGCCCAGCTGAAGTCAGAGCTGGCTGCTGAGCGCAGCGCCCACTTCACACCGTGGACGAACGGCGGTCTGCGACACACGGCACCTTTTCCGGCGATTCACCTCTGCTTGCCCCACCGGCACGCCCGCGTCGTTAAGCCGGCTGCAGCGGGCGCCGCTCGTTAGGGTCCGGTGCTCCGGTCCGGGTCACAGGGCGCCGTGTTACCTTCCGCCCGCTGCGCACTGTCAACGACACTCACTCTCAGCGATCATTTGGCAGCACGGCTGTGAATGTGGGCCAGGTCGAGCACTGGCTGTCGGGCTGAAGGCGGATGTTGGTGCGATGCGGAACCTGGGAAAAGCCTCTGAAATAATTTATGAACGACACACATGTAACGAAGCTTGCTCAGACTCCGCACGGAATGAGTGGACGAAGCGGATGAAAGCAGTCACCATGATGAGACCGCATCGAGACGCTGGGTTTTATTTCCGACAACTGACTGCTGTTGGGCACCGCTTAGTTAAGTTTTGATAGGAATGAATGCGTCTTAAAATTCTATGATTTTGAACCTGTCTGACAAATTTCACTATTTTGAGATTCTCTGCCAATTCATTTTTAGACGTCCTTAAATGTGGGATTGCTTTATTTATTTGTATGCCCTCATGCCATCTTTCGTTCCTTTCTCGCTAGGAAATGAGAACATTGCCAAATATTTTAATCCATTGGGTATCAACGCCACACTCAACGGGTACGAGGAGGTTTTTTACGATCCCAAGTTGATTCCCATTGTCTGAAAGTCCCTCACAACCCCCAGTTTTATATCGTACGTGCCTCTACTGATAGTGCGAAATGTGTGGATATATAGCGCTGCAGTGCGTAGTGACATCTCGGGTGCAGTGTGCAGTGACACCTCGGGAGCAGTGTGTGGTGACATCTCGGGTGCAGTGTGTGGTGACATCTCGGGTGCAGTGTGCAGTGACATCTCCGGAGCAGTGTGTGGTGACATCTCGGGTGCAGTGTGTGGTGACATCTCGGGTGCAGTGTGCAGTGACATCTCCGGAGCAGTGTGTGGTGACATCTCGGGTGCAGTGTGTGGTGACATCTCGGGTGCAGTGTGCAGTGACATCCCGGGAGCAGTGTGTGGTGACATCTCGGATGCAGCGTGCAGTGACATCCCGGGGGCAGTGTGTGGTGACATCTCGGGTGCAGTGTGTGGTGACATCCCGAGAGCAGTGTGTGGTGACGCCTCGGGAGCAGTGTGTGGTGACATTCTGGGTGCAGCGTGTGGTGGCATCTCGGGTGCAGTGTGCAGTGACACCCGGGGAGCAGTGTGTGGTGACATCTCGGGTGCAGTGTGTGTGATGACATCTC